ATTATCTCTCATGAGAATAAATATTTTAAAGTTGTCCATTCTGTTCTTAACCCTAATGACAGTGCTAAGTTATCATACTAGCTTTTACTTCATTATGCAAAGGTTATGTTCATAGCTAGTAAAACAAATTATATTGGCGTTACCCTCTTCTAGGGAATATGTTTTGATCTATGAGATTATGTTATATCTTACATTTTATTAGTGTTTCATCATGTTTCTTAAACTCAAGACTATTTAGAAATTTCTTTTTCAAGTCTTGTTTAAACTTTTATGATGATTTGATCAACTAGGAATTAATTACTTGGTCAACTGACTTAGTAAATTTGATGATTTCTAGGCAATACATTTGAATGTATAGTATATACATATTATTGTTAATATTAATTATTATTATTATTAACTCGAACTCTACTCTAAACATTTTGCAGGATAGTTTGTGTGACTTTCTCTCCTTTTTTAAAAAATAGGTTTTACTAAGTCATTTGATTAAGGTTCCAGCTTCCTATTCCCTGTAGGTCCTGAAAGCATGCTTGAAAACACCTCTGTTCTTCATGACACTATTGATTTAGAGCAGTTACTTGTTCCTTTCCCAAGGCCATAGATTATTTTATTATTTCCTTGGACTCTTATTATATAACCAAGAGATACTTAAATGTATATAATATATGTATATAAGAACAATCAATGAAAAAAGAGATCATGAATTTGAAAGAGAACTTTAAGGGGCATATGGGAAGGTTCGATGGAAAGAAAGGAAGGGTGAAATAATTTAATTATATTACAATCTGAAAAAATAAAAGAAATAATTTAAAAATGTTTCTTCTTAAGTAAAAAGCTAATATATTTTATTTGATTAACATGTATTTATATTCTAGATTTTAGACATTATGATTGTTTTGTAGTCTCTATTGTGAGCATTACATCTTTATTTTGAAACATATCAGTTCTGTGTTTAATTTTTATATTCTGAACTTCTGTGTTAGCTATAAAGTATTTTTGCTCTTTCTTGGTTTGGGTAAGCATGTCATATACAAAGAAACATATGTAAATGTTGAGGGTGGGGGAAATAAGTCAGGTTGTAAAGGTGCCATTGGTAGGTGATTCACATGAATTGCCTATAACATCTATTTTTGTGGTGAGTACAAAGAAAAAATATGCATCCTATCTTCAAGGTGTTTGCAATAAGTGGAACATGCAAAAAGCAAAATGAGACAATTAGGTACATAATAAATAACAATTATATATTACAGTAGACAATTTGGTCTTTATGGTTTAACTACATTGCATGGGAGTAGATAAAGTGGTGTATCTAGATTGGTTCTAAACATTGGATCAGCTTTACGTAAGATGAGACGGTAGTAGCAATGTGAGTTAAAGTAATGCTACATAAGTGAGTAATGTATGTATGAGGGGACAAGTTGATGGCTGATCTCTTTGGAAAAGAGGCTGAATGTTGGGAACTAGGTCAATTAAGTTAGACTGAGGCAACTCACAAGTATGGTTTTCAAGTCAGCAGATGAAGTTTTATTTTGTGACAGCCAGTGGAAGATTATACAGAGGCATGGTAAAGGCTTTCCTACAAGAAAGGAGTGACAGAATGAGTTAGAAGTTCAAAGAGGCCGTTGTAGTAATCAAGGAATAAGCCGATAAGACCCAAGGACAGGGTGATATGAAGTAGAATCACAATGAGAATAAAATAGGGAAAGGGAAGACAGACCAATGATGGATGAGCCTGGAAGAGACTTGGAGCATTTGTTGAGAGAGTAACCTAGTTTATGAGGAATGTGCTATATTCTTCTTTCATCTTCCTATCTAAACATTTGGTTTGGAACTCATCATTTTTCAAGAGATAGATGTAGCTTGGTGAAAGAACAACACTTGACTTTTGTTCTAGAAATTTGAACCTCATAACTGAGGGGGGATTTGTGTAATCTGTAAAATAAAGTAGACAGTGAAAGTACAAGAAAGGGTCTTATCTGGATATTTGAAAGGATGATTGCCTTAAGGAAAAAAAGCAACTGTTGAGGGTGGAGAGTGGCAGAAAGGTTCTTGGTGTGTAGACATCCAAGTGGTCTACTCTGTTTCCTGGCAATGCTCTGGAGAGTGGAGGGTATGGTAAAAGGCTACTAACCAGTAAACCCAAGGGGTTCTAACAGATGATGAGTGGTAACTTCATAGGAGGATTTTATGTTCCAAGACTGGTACCAAAACTGCCACCTAAGTACCTGCAAGACAGTTTTCTCAGAAGTTATATGAGAGCTGACTTGAAGGCCACATTAACTTCCTATCTCCAATGAATCTTAGTATAGTTCCAAAGATTTGGGGTGAAGGTGGGGGTCTTCAGAAAAGTTTCAGCTGCAGATTCTACTTTCTAGATTCTTAGTAATAACTCAGTTGTGTAATAAATATTTATTTACCACATATGTGATTTTTTAGACTTTCATTATTCTAATGCATTAGTGAAAGATAAATCATGTCTTGTACAAGTATGCATTCTTTTTTCAATAGAAATAAATCAGTTTACTAAATAGTAAGACACTGTTTAGACAATGTCAGAAAATTTATGCATTGCATTTTCTTTTCTTTTAACAAAGATGAATATAAGACATTAGTTGGAGTCATTCCCTTGGAATGTGAAAACAACATCTTAGCCCTAGCTTCCCAAAGCTCAGCTTAATGAGGAAGGAGGACATATAAATAAGTAATCAGTTTATAGACCATTTCAAGTCCTTTGTTGTCTAGATTGGATCAAGAATCCATCAGTTAATCAATAGCTCACAAGCCAACTTCCTAGATGTTATTATGTATACTAAATTGTGTGTTAGGTATAGCAGTTATGGGGGAAACAACTTACTCACAAAAATGCATTCACTAAGAGGTTAGTAATATTCCAGTGTAGAAAACTAATCTTGTCTAAAGGGTATGTAGATAGAGGTAAGTAGTTAAAATTTAGTATTCAGCTTATGAGGAACCTGCAATTCAGTTTTAAAATTAATATACACATACACATCTATGCACATAAACAGTCAGTGCATTACACAAGCACACACATGTGCACACACACACACAATATGAAAGAATGAGAGACTGAGGGAGAATAAGATTAAGTAAGATTGTTTTCTTTTTTTAAAAAACATTTATTTAAATTAGAAATAATCTTGCTTCACATGTCAATCTCAGCTCCCTTACTTTCCCCTTCTCCCCAGCCCTGACTAGCCTCCTCATCCACCCACCCAATCCCCACTCCGCTCCCCAGGGAGGGTGAGGCCCTCCCTCCATGCGGGATCTCCAAAGTCTGTCATATCATCCTGGGCAGGGCCTGATCCCTCCCGCATGTGTCCAGGTTGGGAGAGCATCCCTCCATGTGGAATGGGATCCTCAGGTCCATTTGTAAGCCAGGGATAAATACATATCTACTACCCCGGGCCCCATAGATTGCTGAGGCCTCCTCACTGACACCCAAATTTAGTGAGTCTGGATCAGTTCCATGCTGTCCTCTCAGCCATCAGTTTGGGGTCCATGAGCTCCCCCCTTATTCAGGCCAGCAGTTTCTGTGGGTTATACCAGCTTGGTCTTGATCCCTACAGCAACTTAAATGAGCTCTCTGTAGCCAATCAGAGAGTGGATAAAAATTGGAAAAGGGAAAAAAGGGGGAAGAGAGAAATGATGGGATACATATAAGTATCAGAGGTATAGAGCTGGAGATCATCGATAAATGAAATGTAAGTGATATGTCTCCAATGGCAAACACCGAGAATGTGCTTCTACTCTACAGGAAGTGCCTGTGGCCAAAACCTTAAAGAGAATTCGGGGGGGGGGGGAAGTTGCTGGGCTGCCAGAGTTGAGGGGGCTGACAGAGACCATGCTAGACAGCAGGACAAGACAATTCATGGAAGAGGGGACACTGTAGTCCCCTCCTGAGAAGTTGCAAAAAAATCTGAATGGAGTCAGGTGCCTGTGGCACTGTTGAAAGTTGTTCAGAGGAGAGAAAGAGCCTGGTTCACGTGGTCTTTGGGAAGTAGGGATTCCCCAGGGAGATTTGCTTTCTCTTCTCGTCTTTATTCCCTACATCCTTTCTGTTAATTCCTGTGTGTAGATTTCTCAAACGCTCATGTTCGGTTTACTTTCATTTTACTCTATTCCCCCAAAGTTATTTATATTTAAATTAAGAATTCTTGTCCATGACAACAAACTAAGATCCACAGCTATAAAATTATGTAGTATATATAGGTATTTGTATATATTTACATGTGCACATTCATGTGGATCTTTTTCTCACTTTTTTCATTTAATTATTATTATGGGTATAATTGTGTTACAGTCCATGTAATATGTCTGTTAAACACAATATAAAATTTACTGGTATTCTTTATTAGTAAGGACTTGTTCCTTGCTAACCTTGTATTTTTTAAGCATTTGCAAAATATTTAGATAATTTTCTAGAACATAGTGATTGTTTGAAAGGTGTCTACATTGGTCACATGTCAATCCCAGCTCCCTCTCCTTTCCCTAGCTTCCGAATTTTAGTGTTTTTAAAATTTGTTAGCTTGATGAGACTTAAATTGGAGTGATACTTCTAGAGTTAGAATCTTATCAAAAGAATGTGAGAGGCTGTGTGTAGGACAGGCCTGTGGCATCTCAGGAGAGCCTGTACTTTTATTATGATACTACCTGGGACTTTATTATGTATGTTTCCTGAGACATCCCAGAAATATTTTTAATAAAAATGTTTAAAATATTTCAAAGACATGAAAAAAGTTCAACTAGTAGTTCATAATGTAGAGAAATTAGAAACATCTGGTAAGCTCAGTTGCAAGCATGGCTTGAGTGAACATGAGATGTAACAACCAGGCAGTTGACTAGTCCAGTCTAATTCTAGTGAATAATATTTTCTCAGCCGTCTCCTGGCCACAGAGTATCAAAAGGCAATGGGGACATGTTGTAAAGTGCCTTGGGGCTAGAACAATTGTACCCTGGAAACATTCTCTTGGCTGGTTGAGTCTGACCACAGGCACAGCTCAGTTCACTCTACAAACAGAATTAGTCATGGAGTGCATGTTCAACAGCACTCTGTAGAACTTTCTTTTTCAGATTCAGTGCACGACATCATGGTGGACATTCACACCTTGGAATGATACTTTTGCGTAACAGTAGGTATGAAATATAATTTAGGACTTTGCTTTACATAAGCTATATAAACACTTCCAGTAATTGCTGACTGTTCTCTTTTTAGAGGGTCTACAATGTCAAGTTTGCTATTTTTTTTTACTATTTTAGTATCATGTAAATAGCATATAAACTATTGGTGTCTGTAGAAACATACTGATCTCCAATGTCTTCTTGTGCTTCTGTGCCTTTATGATTTGATATTCCAGATTCCATGAGATGAAAGAAATGTCTGTTCTTGCTCATGGTGTGCAAGTACTTTGTGATTTTCTATTTTAATTTATGTGTACGCCTATAGTCAAACAAATATTCATTTAAAATTATTTATTTTTATTTTATGTGTATGCATTGTTGCCTGAATGTATGTTTGTGTACCACATATGCATCTAATGCCCACAGAGGCTAGAGGAGGTAATAGGAGCCTGTGAAACCAAAGTTACAGACAGCTTCTAGAAGCTATGTAGGTGTCTGATACTGAACCTGGGTCTCCTCCTAGAAAAGCAAGTCCTTCTAATTGCTGGGCCTTCTCTCTAGTTCCAGTTACCAGCTTCTTAAAGTTAGACTGATTTGTCAATGTGTTCCTTGTGATGAGTAATTGGAGAATTTATTCATAAATGAAGAACAGATGCTTACAACACAGATGAATCAACTAGATAATTATAAGACCACATGGAAATTTCTTTTCAAGACAGGGTTTCTCTCTGTATCTTTGGGTGTCCTGGAACTCACTCTGTAGACCAGGCTGGCCTCGAACTCATAGAGATCTGCCTGCCTCTTCCTCCTGAGTGCTGGAATCAAAGGTGTGCACCACCACACCTGGCCCAACACAGGATTTTGATATGAAATACCAATATTATTTTTAACTGCTACTCATTTTTCTTCTATGATTCCATTCTTGTATCTTTTCTTGCTCCTTCTCCTCCCCCTCCTCCTTCTTCATGAAGCTGCCTTGCTGGATAATTTTCCAAAGGTGATTATCTATCACTGAAAACAGCGCAAACCTGCAGTAACTGGCCACTTTTAAAGGCTGCTACTGATTTTTCTATCTGATGGGAAGAGTTAGAGTGTTTGCTTTTGTTTCAACATGTATACTATGGCCTAAAGCAATGCCTCATATTAAAGAGGCCTCAGAAATATTCTTCTTGCTATGACTTCATTGTTCACATTGTTTACAAGTGAGCACCATCAGCTAGTATTTATTAAATCTTCACTTATATTGAGAACAACTCACAGTTTTGTAGCCAGACATCCAATTGGTGCAACACAGTGTCCTGTGAATGTGATCTTTCCAACTTTGGAATTACCATCTTTCTATATATAATTAATAAAAATTCTATTTTTGACTTCAATATGATTTTTTGTGTCATCTTTTATCATTTATCACTTTTAATCTTTAAAGTGCAATCCTTTTAGTCTGTTAAAAACAACTTGATATACCATGTTTTGTTGATACCTACAAGAGGCTCTGCCCTTTCTAAACAGAAATAGAGGAGTGGATTGGGGAGATGGTGGAGAGGAGGTGCAGGAGGGAATAGGAGGAGAGGAGGAGGAGAAAACTTCCATCAGGATGTAAGGGGAAAAAAGCATTTTCTCAAATATTTTTGCACTAGGGCTTCTGCACTGCCCCTTCCTGTTTGTATACCCTAGCTGAATTTCGTGTCAAAACAGCATGCTTTCTTTGTGTAGGCATATGCGTGTATTAAATACTGACAGACAAGGCACAGCAATGCTATGATTTATAACTGTTTCAGGAGGGTTAGGGTTACGACCCAAAAATGAGAGGTTAAGATAATTTATGACAGAATGGTAGGATATTATGTTACTTATTAAGTTTCTGTTTTCTGACTCTAGGAAATTCCTTATATTTTCTGAGGCTTGTTTTCATTGTTTTTAAAATTCTGTGAATATGAGAAATGCATTTGTTGAGCACCTTATAGAGGGAAATCATGGCATGCACTAAATGGACAATGGATAATGCTATCTACAGTTCCAAAAGACGAGCAAGCTCTTCTTGCCTGAGGCCAGAACATTTGTGAAGTGAACATGGAGACTCTTCACTTCCATTGTCCACAGAAGATCAGAACATCTGTGAGGAGCACATGGACAGTCCATGCTTCCATTGTCCACAGAAGATCAGAACATCTGTGAGGAGCACATGGAGACTCTTCACTTCCGTTGTCCACAGAAGATCAGAACATCTGTGAGGAGCACATGGACAGTCCATGCTTCCGTTGTCCACAGAAGATCAGAACATCTGTAAGGTGTACATGGACAGTTCATGTTTCTGTTGTCCACAGAAGATCAGAACATCTGTGATGAGCACATGGACAGTCCATGCTTCCATTGTCCACAGAAGATCAGAACATCTGTGAGGAGCACATGGAGACTCTTCACTTCCGTTGTCCACAGAAGATCAGAACATCTGTGAGGAGCACATGGACAGTCCATGCTTCCATTGTCCACAGAAGATCAGAACATCTGTGAGGAGCACATGGACAGTCCATGCTTCCGTTGTCCACAGAAGATCAGAACATCTGTAAGGTGTACATGGACAGTTCATGTTTCTGTTGTCCACAGAAGATCAGAACATCTGTGAGGAGCACATGGACAGTCCATGCTTCCATTGTCCACAGAAGATCAGAACATCTGTGAGGAGCACATGGACTTTCCACACATCCATTGCTCACAGTAGATCAGAACATCTGTGAGGAGCACATGGACTCTCCATTTTTCCATCATCCACGGTAGATCTGCTAGTAAGTCTTTCCATGGAGACTGCATGCAGCTACGTGACTAACTCATAAGCAGTCATTGCCAAATTCAAGAAGGAAAAGAGTTGCAGTTAGTCCATCTGCCATCCCACATATAGCACAATCTTCTCATTTTACAGCACAGAAAAATGAAGCCCAGAGAAGTGTAATTTGCTCAAGATGCCACATTGTATGACAGCGATCCTGGAATGGAAGTTCAAACTCAGGAGTTCTTCAACTGAAATGTCATTCATACTCGACTTCTTCCACAATAATTGCACTCATTATCATTGGTTATTTAAAAAAACAAATAAATTAACTCTTTTTTCTTTCATATTTTCTGGTTTACAGAATTGAATCATATTGAACCTTTTATACTGGCAGTTATTATGATTATTTTAAACATGGTGCTTGATTCAAACCTTATGTTCAACTGGCTTTCAGAAAAGTAAAAGAAAATGCCAGAGGGTCAGCAGATGTTGAGGGAGTATAATCAAGGTAAACAGTTAGCTAATTAGGAAGTGGTTTCCTAAGCAAGGGTTACTCTAAAATTTTATGCATAATCTCCTTTGATCCCTGGACTTTTTTTCCTTTCTGGCCTGGCTATTTTGTTGGAATGCACTGGGGCTGGCAATGGTTAAATTGATCCTGTTCACTGAAAGCATGTTCACGCTTGCTAACAACTACAGAATTAATTTGAACTTACTTAGCTAAAGGGAAACAGGATGAGAAGAGACAAAGTGGGGTCTTTTTCTCATCACTTAGGTCTCAGCCTCCACTGTTTTTGTTTGTTTTAGTTACCAAACATTCTCTTATTTTCCCATGTTCTGTGTTCGCCTTGGAAAAATCTCTAATAGCATAAATGAAAACAGGAGTCTGGGAGTGCTGACTCATCACAGCCCAAGCCCAGTGGTTTGGCAGGACTCAACTTGTAAGTGTTGAGAAGGCCCACTTTCAAAATAAGTCCCTGGCGGCAGATGTCACTGTTGGTCCGTCTTAACTTTGGGGCACTTCCTCACTGGTATTATTCATGAGTCTGAGCCAGGCAAACTTATATTTGAGGCAACATGGTTTTATGGGGCATTTAATAATGGCTCACAGGACTAATTTGAGAGTCATGCTTTAACCTTGCTTCATTATACTGCTATTTTTTCACTTTTACCCCTATGTGCTGGGGATCAAATTCAGAACCTTTTGTAAGCTAGGCAAACATTCTACCACTGACTTGTACCCTATGCCCTTGTTTATTTCAAGACTGAGTTTCACTCTCTAGTCCAGGCTGGCCTGGAATTTAAGAGCCTCTAGGCTCAGCCTTGTGAGTGTTGGGGTTATAGATGTCTGATGCCTAGCCTCCATTTTTAGCAGAGATATTTTCCATTAAATCCAAGTGGTCTTCCTTCCTTCTATCTTGGTGCTTGTTGTTTATTAAGAATGGACCAGCGTTCCCTCTTTTCTCTCACATGCGCTCATTTTCTCATATATAAACCCACTATGACCCATTCTGGAAGAGATGATCCTCAGTGGTAGTTTTTATACATACAGTTTTACTGAGCTGTTTATCTGTATTGTCTGTCAACTTCACGTACTCTTTCTTCAGCTCTTCTCTGGAATTCCAGGACAATGGCCTTAGAAGTCATGTCCCTCAGACACACACCACAGTTTTCTGAAGGCATGGAGTAGGACTTGATATTGTGGAGTGAGATTGGGAGCAGACATTTTCCAGTCTGTAGTGTTTGTGGCCATAGCCTGTTGGCACTTCTAGAAGCAGTCTCATAATGTCCTCCCAAGTAACCAGCTGCAGCCAGCCCAAAACCTTTCCTTCCACAACCACAGCCAGGACATCTCCTGCTATCTCCTAGGGTCTGTTTGTCTTTACCCTTCCCCTTTCTTCCCTGGGTCTCAGGTTTGTGACTGAGTTCCGAGTTAACTCTGTGCTCAGGGCCTCTGATATCCATGAACTCAGTCTTCTCCAATAAAATGTCCATGTTGAAAACAGTGTTATTCTTCTTTCTGTTAACTGACTTGATTCAATGCATTATATTTTTAATGTTAAAGACAGTAAAAGAGTAGAAAACTTATCACATCTTGTTTTTTATTAATATTTTAAATGTTTCTCTGATTTGGCCTCTAGCATATGTGACTACTTGTTGCATGCTTTACTTGTAAAATGTATATGTACCTCCAAATAGGACCAAAACAAACCTCTGTATAAATATTGAAAATAACTTGTCCTTATAAAAATACAAAATTCTTGTGGTATGTGTGTGTATTATATATATGCTTGTATGTATGTGTGTGTGGCATATATGTGAATGTGCATGTATCTTTGTGTGCGCATGTGTATGTGAGTGTTGTATGTATTATATGTGTGCGTATCACTGGGTATGTGCATGTCTGTGTGCTGGTATCTTCCTTAATCACCAATGGAACCCAGAGCTTACTGCCTCTCCAGTACTGGGTTATGAGTGTACATTGCTAGAATCAGCTTTTATGTGGGTGTTGCGGGGATTTGAACTCAAGCCCTTCAGATTCACAATGGGATTTGAAAAGCCTATGCTCTGTCACTGATCCCTGTACTCCTTTGTGCAGTAAACAAACCAAGACCAGAGGGAGGAAGAGGTTTGCTCAGTGTTGCGTTGTTTAATCTTGGAAAATTCAATCCAATGCCTTTGGTTGTTCATGAACTTGCTTGTAGTTATTTTAGCAATCGGCAAGAAACAACATAAATAAAGTAACCAATCCAGGGTTTCTTTGAATTAGTCATCTTCTTTCAATATGTTCTTTTTCTACTGAAATCAAGTACTTCTTTATATACAGTATTTATTCATTTTCTCATGTCCATTTACTAACACTCATTAATATGTAGTCATTTAATGTAATGGTCTGGATCGGTGTATAAACATCACCTTTCTTTCTTCCTTTCTTCTTTCTTTCTGCTTTTATTTTATTTCTTTTCAATTAAAATATGACATCATTTCCCCTTTCCCTTTCCTCCTCCAAAATCCTACCACATACCACTCCCTGCTTTCTTTTAAATCCATGGCCTTCCCCCTGCCCCATTAATTGTTGTTACATGTACATATGTATTCAGGGATATATATATATATATATATATATATATATATATCCCTGTATACATAAATACAGCTTGCTAAGATTGTATATTAGTATGCATGTTTTCAAGGCTGATCATGTGTCTGTATAAGCTCATGTACATGCTATTTTTAGATGAAGGAGCAGAGGACTTGTCAAGCTTCAAGAACTGCCCAACATCACCAGTACATCAGTGGCATAGGCAAGGGTACGCCTAGTTACCTCATGCTTCTCCCTCAAGGAACTGAGGCAAATTCTTGTGGATAAGTCTAACATTTTCCTTACTAGTTGTCATTTATCTATCGTGTTATATTTTCTTGGGTTATTACATAAAAGAATCACTATGGAAATCACACATATACATCCACCTCACTTTAGCATTATCTGATACTGGATATTATAAAAATATTTTTACTATTAGAACTAGAAATCCTATTTATCAAAATTACTCAGACGGGTTTGAAAACCCCTTTGTACTGAATGTTAATGTGGATCACAGTTTACAGTCTTCCAGTTCTCCCCAGTTTTTGTATCTTAAATTAAAAAATAATGGAGGAAGTTGGAAAGTGTGAGAAAAGGAAGAGAATGAATCAAGCAAATAGACACTGCTGTCTGATTGGTTGCATGAGGGAAAAGGTTTAAATGGAGATTTGAGAAAGCAAAAGTGTGTGTGTGTGTGTGTGTGTGTGTGTGTGTGTGTGCGCGCGTGCATGTGCGCTTAATTAAAGACACACCTGAGATCATTTTTCAAGAGGAAGTACACAGACAGTGAATTAGCATGTTAAATTCCCTCCAGTACATGAGTGAAACTGAACCTCTCAGGATTCTTCTGTGTCTTTGTGAGCATCCTATACTGTTCTTTTCTCTATAGTCAGCATTGCAGACTCTAAATTCTACTGAGGTGTGTTGGGAAAGTGGCTCAGTTAAGGCCTCCCAGCTCCCAGGTCATCCCTACTTTCCTGACATTTCACAGCTCTGGGTGTTGCTGAGAACAGATACAGAGCTGGTACTGCATAATCTGATCACCAGTCAGAGATGGGACTTTCTCATTCAATCTTATTTTTTTTTTAATTTTCACACACTGGCAACCGTTAGGAGAGAAAAGCAATTCAAAATGCTGTGTTAGTTAAACTAAACAAGTGTCTGGGCTGACCCCCGTTTGTTCCATCTGTACAGAGTGTAATCTTCAGAACCGAGGGAGGGATGGGTGTGGAACCTGGGCAAAAAGCTGTCATTCCAGAGAAAGTGTGTGTGAGGGGATTGCCAAGATTCAGACAAATGGAGAACTGGGAGAAGGAACAGGGCAGGCATGAGTAACATAAGATGTTGGGAGAGAGATCAGGCTTTCTTCTATTACATGCCCATTAAATGAAGGAGTGACATCTATTAGAACTAAAATAACATTAATAATGTTTTCTGCTATTTTTATATATTTATGTTTATTACTAGAAAAGCAAAGTGAATATAGTCAGATCATGACAACTGTTAAGGTCTAGTGTTTATTAATTAGGACTTTGGAAAGAAAAGAAAGGATAAGGGAGCTCACTTAGAACAGAAAGGAGATCATGAGGGTGAAAATTATCAGTCTGCATGTATAGTGGAGTAAGAAACTAGTAATGTGAGGAGAAAATGTAGATGAAAAATGTTATGGAATACTTAGAGACCTTGGGTTAGACAAAGGTGGACACTAGCCAGAAATCAAATCCTGGTGGAATGGGAGGTGACTTGGCATGGATGGTCAAAGTAGAAGCCAAGGTGAGATCCTGAACTGGGTGGTCAATTCCTGAGCCAGAACTGTTGGATACAACGCTCAGGGTCTGGAGGTAATTTGAAATGATATGTGCGTGGAGGGGGGCAGGGTTATGCTTAGAATAAATACCCCTTAGTTTAGGAGTTTTAAAATGGGAAAATAGTTAAGCTCATAATAGATGTTATATAAAATAGTATTTGTTCTTCAGCTCCTATTTTAGTCCATGTTGAATCAGGAGTTAAACGAACTTAAAATCTAGAGTTTTGTTTAAAAAATTAAAGCACTCAAATATATCATCTTTCCAACAAATGTTTAAACATATCTTTCAGCCAAGTTGCTTAAGAACAACAGTTGAGCAGAACTGCACGTCTTCCTCCAAGCTCTGTTGACTGCAAGATGGAAACAGGAACCCTTGGGAATATCTGTGAGTCACAAAAGTAGAGAACTTTCCAAAGCTGTTTTCTTGCTCAGAGGGAGCTCTCTAATCTCACATTGGCAGGGTTTACTGGCTACAAGGTACAGAGTTTACTCTGATTCTTTCCCAGCTGTTCCTCGTGATCTTGGATCATCAAGTTTTGATATATTGGAGCAAGAAAGTTGAGTAATGTAAGACTGTAACCTCTTCTGCTCTTGTCTTCTCTTCAAACAGACGAAAATCAGGATTCTAATCAGTTCTTCCTTTATGGGTCTTTTTAACTCACTTGACCGTGAAGAAAGGGGCTTGAAGCACTCCCACAATTCTGGACCATCCCACCGGTCTGAAATCTTGTACTGCTAGCAATTGATGGGGAACGTTCTCTTTCAATCGAAATACGATGTTAAGGCTGATGGAGGCAGAGGCAGACACCCACAGCTGTGAACCGAATTGAACTCCTGGAGCCCAGTTGCAAAGAGTAGTGATGACCAAAGGAATCAAGATCAGGCTGGTGAAACCCACAGAGGCAGCTGACCTAAACAAGGGGGAACACATGAATCCCAGACTGATGACTGAGGGGCCAGCATGGGACTGATCCAGACATCCCTCCCACGGAAACTGGGTGACAGAGGGGAGGCCTTGACAATCTGTGGGACCTTGGAGAGTAGAGCAGTATTTATTCCTGGCATACAGAGGGACTCTGGGAACCCATACCACGTGGAGGGATGCTCTCTTAGTCTGGGCACATGGGGAAGAATCCGGGCCCTTCCCAGGATGATGTGACAGACTCTGAAAATCACTCATGGAAGCCCTTGCCCTTCCTGAGGAGTGGAGGGGGGATAGGGTGGGGGTGAGGGGTTGGGAGGATTGGGGGTGGGTGAGGAAAGGGAACTGAGAGTGACATGGGTAAAAAATTAAATAAAAATGAAGAAAAAATGATTCCAGAAGAGATATTTCTAAGTGTGTATATGTGAATGTGTGTGTGTGTGTGTGTGCGTGCCTCATTTAATCTAGTACAGTATTAAACACTTACCATGGAGGAAGTTTTTGCACAAAGGCATATCATATAAACAGTATTAATTTTAATAGGATCAAAACACATGCTTTTGCTCTTTATTACAAGGATTGAAATATCCACAAAGATCTCTAGTTTTTCAAAAATATTGATAAAACAAAAATGAATTCGTAAATTGATAACAAAGTGTGCAAATACATAAAAGATGTAAAAAGCACAGTGGTAACTAATTTTGTAGGACTGAATTGAATGAAAAGCTAAAAAAGGGAGACCCAGGTAACCCATATGACTCATTGGAGCAGGCTTCCACAATAATAGCAATTTAGGAGCCCTTCTCCCCCTCGCTTTCCCCCTCTCTATCTCTTTCTTCTTCCCTCCTTCTTCCTTCCCCCCCCCTCTCACTTCTCTCTCTTACCACTACCAAACACACACTGAAGGAGATAGGCCTTGAAGAGAAAATGTGCAATCAGAAGAAGTATATGGTTAGCCTCATAATGCTCCGCTTTCCGACCTTCTCTAGCAATCTAGATCTGTCCTTATGCTTTGGTTTAGACTGAGTTTACAATTAAAATTTTACATTTATATGAATTTTAGTAAAGAAATTAACTAGAGAAGGTTGAATCTGCCAAATTTGACATTAAGGGAGGGGGACATTTTGACAAAGCATTATTAAAAAGTGATGCAAATCAACAACACAAGATACCATGTTTATATTCCAGCCATTTAAAATTGCAGTGGTATTCATTTAGAGAAAATGTCTCTTTTGGTTTATCAAATGGCATGGAGAAATAACAGAGAAACATATTTTGAGGAGTCATCTCAACTTCAGCTTTTGGAATAAAGTAATGATTTCCTTTACAGTTAGTGACAGGAAGGGTTTTGTTTTTTGTGGATGTGATTTTATATGGAGTTAGACTTGTATGTCAGCACACCACACTATTTGAAAGATATCTTGATCTTTGTTTAAGGAATAACAAGGTGTGGGTTTTGTGAGTGCAAAGGTGAGTTCCTGAATGCATTTGAAATGGACACATCCTCTTAGAGATGCCGACTTTCACAGTGAAGTCAAACAGATGGAAAACATCTGTTCTCTAAGAAGCTGGATCTTCTCAGAGGGCAACAGGCACCTGTTTTTAAACAATAGTGCTTTTCCTTACTGTTGAAGAAGTTATTGTTTTATGCTAAAAGGGTAAATGTTTCCCAGGTTATTTTCACATAATTGGCCCTACAAAAATCACCTTCTCCTATCAGTGCATACTAAAAATTTCTCTTTTGGGAACCACTCTTCCTTATAGTAATGGAGATGAAACATGAATCTCATATCATCCTGTGAATTAAAAATTATGGGCTTGATAAAGTTCTTGACCAAGTAAAAGCATTATTCTATCTCGTTCTGAAGTATATCTAAAAACAAGTATCTTGGAGAAAATGACATATTTAAGATAATACATATTTTCTGCATAGGAGAAAGCTGATCACAAGCTAATCAAGAAGTTTTAGTCCTTCTTATAGAAAATATCAAAATTAATGAGAAATTAATTCAATTAAACCATTGTTTCAACTCTTCCAAGGCTGTTCCTTTTTTACCTTTATACATAAAATAATTCCATTTTGGAATATAATGGGATTATTTTTTAAAAAAATAGTCTCAAGTGAGTGTACTGATGATAACTAAGAGCTAATCAGTAAGAATAAATGTTGACCCGGTTGTGAGAAAAGAGGAACACATATTCATTGTTGGCAGAAGTGCATACTGGTGCAGTAATAATGTAATAGGTGTAAATGCCTCCCAAAATGCTAAAAATAGATCTCTCATATGAACCAGCTCTACCTTTCCTGGGCATATTCCCAAAGGACTCCATATTTCACTACATAGTAGCCCAAAGTGGAAACAGCTTCTTGTTTATTAGCTGATGATGGGATAATATAAATATAGTATATTTATATAATGGAACATTATTCTGCTGTAAAGAAAAATGAAATTATGGAATTTTCAAATGAATGGATGTTTCTGGAAACAATTATTCTGAGTTGACCCAGACACAGAAAAACAAATGCCACATGTTCTTTCTTAATGTGACTGATAGCTTTGACTGTTCAGATGTGTGTGTGTTTAAACCGGAGTATCCACAGAAATCAGGAAACTAGTGTAGGCACCATGTGTAGAGTAGAATTCAAGGAAAGATGAAAGGAATGCTGGTGGCACGAAGGAAGAAAGGAAATGCTAGGGCAGAAAAGGCTAAAAGAGGTGGGAGTGGGAAGGGAGGCACAGGGGGCATGTAGGGAGGCTTTAACACTAAAGCCTTTTGAAAATGCCACACAGAAACCTGTTAGTGTGGGAGCTTCCATATATATATATTGCGTCTTGGTCAAATACACACATCAACAGTTCCCTCCTCTACAGTTCCTTCACCCACCACTCTTAAATCCTAACTTCATGTGTTCTCTCACTTTTAAACCCACTGACTCCACTCTGTGCTATCTGTATGAGCATAGATAGATGCATAAACGTCCAACTAAGCAAGAGTAACCTTTCAGAAGCATCACCCCCAAAGAAAACTTACTCTCCCTCCCCCAGGACCATCGATTGCCAATAACTCTGAGATCAGGATGGGGCTTCACGAGCCTCTATCTGTGCGTGCAGAGACTGTTTTTTGGCTTGCAGTTACAGCAGCTGTGAGTTACATGACTGATAGTGTGTCGTGGCTCCATCAGGTTCAGGATGTCTGTTTAACTTCAGACATCCCCTTCTTCTGGCTCTTAAAATAATTCTTGCTCCCTCTTCCTTGATGATCTCTGAAGGGAAAGGGGTAGCATACAGATTTACCATTTATGGCTTAGTATTCCACAATCTCTTAATCTTTCCGTGTTTGACAGTTCTGAATCTCTGTATTAGTCACTTTCTACAACAAAGAGAGGTTACACTGATGAGGGTTGACAGATGCACTAATCTATAGATACAAAGGTACTGACTTAGGAGCAGTTTAATACTAGGTACACTTGTCAGAATAATTATATTAGCTTCTCTCCTGGGGCTTATGACTTAACAATCTTGTGGGTTTGGCCGAGTTAATAGTACCAGGCATATGTTCAGTCTTGTAGAGTAGGCTTTAAATCCACTCCAGAAAGTGGCTGGCTCCTCCTATAGCATTCATGCCACTATTGCACCAATAAGCATATCTTGCCAGGTCAGATGTTGTTATACCTGGCAAGGTTCATAGCTGGGCATAACTGTTGACAGCTTGTTCTCTCCTAGTAGCATGCATAGAATCTTCTGGTACTATGAAAGTGAGCCAGTAGGGATGAAACTTGCAGTTTAGCACCAGCTTATTTCTCTATATCCTGTGACTCTGTATGTGTTGTCTTCAGCAATAGGGCCTTACAGTCAAGTTCTGAGGGGTGATAAATAACAATGTCAACAGCCTGAAATGCTTGATGGGGTCATCAATAGGACTCAGCAGACTAACAATTTGAAAAGAGGTAATCCATACTAGGCACTTGTCATTTTATTAGACACTGATGGTGTCTGGGGGAGGGGAAGTGCCTCTGTTATATGATAGCTCCATTTACATCCCAGCAGGCCATCTTTGGTAACCAGGTAAGATCGATATGAAAACAGGAGTCAACTTTCTGCTTCATATAAGAAACACACCTCAACTTCAAAGACAGGAATTACCTCAGAGTAAAGGACCTGAAAAAAGCTGGTATAGTTATACTAATATCTAATAAAATAGACTTCAAACTAAAGTTAATCAAAAGAGATGGAGGAGATTTCCTATTAATTACAGGAAAAATCCATCAAGATGAAATCTAAATTCTGAACATTTATGCCTCAAATACAAGGACACTCACATTTGCAAAAGAAACATTACTAAAACTTGAATTGTACACCAAACCTCATACATTAGTACTGGGAGACCTAAACATCCCACTCTTACCAATGGACAGGTCTGCCAGATAGAAAATCAACAGAGAAGAGAAATAACAGATGTTATTACTCTAATGGATTAACAGGTATCTACAGAACCTTTCATCCAAGCACTAAATAATATACATTCTTCTTAGCACTTCACAGAAAATTCTCTAAAATTGACCACATACTTGGTTACAAAGCAAATCTCAGCAGATACAAAAAATTGGAATAATTCCCTGTATCTTACCAGATCACCATGGCTTAAAGTTAGAATTCAACAACACAAATTACAGAAAGTCTACAAACTCACAGAAACCAGACAACTCTGAACTCATCTACCACTGGGCCAAGGAAGAAATGAAGAAATTAAAGACTTCTTAGATTTCAGTGAAAATAAATGTGCAATGTACCCAAACTTATGGGACACTATGAAAGCAGTGCTAAGAGGAAAATTCATAACACAAAATGCCTACATAGAAAATTTGGAGAAATTTCAGACTAGTGTCTTAACAGCACACCTGAAAGCTCTAGAGCAAAAAGAAGCAAACTCAACCAGGAGGAGTAGATGAAAGGAAATAATCAAACTCAAGGTTGTAATCAACAAAAAGAAACAAAGAGAACAATAAAAATAATCAGTGAAACAAATATTTGGTTCTTTGAGAAAATCAACAAGACAGACAAACCCTTATCCTAATTAACCAAAAGACAGAGAGAGAATATCCAAATTAACAAAATCAGAAATGAAAGGGGGAACATAACAATAGACCCTGAGGAAATACAGAGAATCATTAGATCATACTTCAAAGACATGTACTCCACAAAATTGGA